CTGTTCTGCTGCTATAGCAACTGCTAATTGCCTATGGAAATGTGATGCTGTTGACCCATGTTGGCCACAGAGCTTTGCCTTTCTTTCCCCAGATGCCTCAGCTGTAAAAGATTGCTATTGCCCTCCTGCATCACTGGCCACCCCAGCAGTAGTCGTAGGCACTAGAATGAGGAAGGTCTTGTTTTGAAGTTCCTTACAGCAGTACAGAAAAATGCTTTGAGATAGGAACAAGTAAGAAGTCTCTACCCAAGTACGTATTTTTTTTCAGTGCCTTTTGCTTTTGATGTAAGGATTTATTTCTGAAGGCTTCAGAGAAATCCTCACAGCACGGGGAGAGCACAGATGTGCATGAGAGAAGAGCAGGCTGATTTAAGTAAATATGTCCTTGGGGCTAGAAAAATGTGCTTCTGTACCAGGGTTGCTGGCTCAGCCCCCATGTCCAGCCTGTGTGGTTATAAATGCAGGACCCCAGGGGGCATCCCCTGCAGCCTGGGGGGGGCATCCCCTGCAGCCTGGGGGGCAGCCCCCCCAGCCTGACCTTCCCCCAGCACTGGGCAGTGCAGGGCAGCAGAGGCTGGTTCAAGTCTGACCAGATCAGGAGAGCTGTACCCTAGATTTCCAGCATGGCTTAGTGAGCCAGGCTTCTTACTGCTTCACTGTGGAGCAGAACTAGATGTGGGTGATGTTCCCTTGCAGCACAGCACGGGAGCAGCCCTGGGAGGCCGAGCCTGCCTCACCCAGCCCTGGGCTCTCCCCTGCCTGCCAGTGCAGCTCCAGGGCTCAGCCACAGAAATGCAGCACCCAGGTGGTTTGGCCGAGCAGCAGCAGGGGTCATGGCAGCTCTGCAGAAGCTCAGCATGTCCTGGGTTCCCTGCTGCTGCTCTGCCAAGCACCACATTGCAGGGAGGAGTGGTGGGGACATCCCTGCAGCCACAGGCCATGCCTGTGTGGCTTTGGAAGAAGCATCTAGGGAGTTGCATATAATTTCCCACATCTCCAGCTGGTGCTGCCATGTCAGTGTCAAGTGACACTGCAGATATTAGGGAGCTGGCATAGCTTCCTGAGGGTGCTCACTGCATCAGAGATACCTGTGCCACTTCTCCTTGTGCACACCTCAGTCCAGAAGGCAAAGCTGCATTTCCCTGTGTTATGCAGGGCCATGGTTGTTGCTAGTGACCCTTCCACCACTCTTCTACTCCTGTGCCATGGTCCACCTTCCATTGTTTCTTTAGTAAGGATTTGCATGATGACATTTATTACATCTGTAGCCTGTAGAACCTGCACTGCAGGGTCAGGACAGAGCCCATGGGCTCCCCTGACAGGGCAGTCCTGTGCGTGTGTGCTGGAAAGTGTGGTGGGGGTCTTGGGATGAGGGATCCCTGTACAGACCTGTCTGATGCCCAAGAGCATCACTTCACTTCTGCTGAGGTTTGGCCCTTGCTTGTGGGGCTTTTCCCCTTCCTATCATTGAACTCCAGCTCTCTTCCCTCCCTGCCAGCCTGAGCAGCACCCCTAATTTGCCAACACATCTTTGTAACTCAGGTGTGAAATGTTTTCATTTTGGAAAGTTTGAACAGTTTAAGGTATGTGGTAGTTACAGCTGCTGCCTTCATCTTTCAGGCTAAAGGGAATTAGCCAAGCCAGTCCCACCAGCTGTTGTGAAATCTCAGCTAAATCCCGATTTGTTTCTGTGTAGTTATCTTCTCCAGCAAATTGTGTCCTACACAATCCATCACCACTTTCACCTTGTTGCTTCAGTGATGGAGCAGGTTCAGACAAATCCCCTGTGTGGAGACAGAGGTACTTATTCAAATGCAAATTAAAAGTATTGTTTTTGAAGATACCTGCAAACCTTTTTCTACCAAAACTGCAGGAAGTTCCCTTGATTTGCATCAGTCAGACGGAGGGGAGGAGAGCCTGTGCCAGGAACAAACACAGAAGAGTAGCACTGAGAGCTGCAATATAGCACTCTAGGTAGGCAAAAAATGTCAGCAATGTAGGAAAGAAACAAACAGAACAATGAAGCATGGAGAAATTATTTGCTTTAAGTTTTCTCCTCTGTACCATATCTCTGAGCTAGCAAATGGTGGCTGCTCACTCCCTGTTGAAAGACCTGTTTCCTCTTCTCTCCCATGTGCATCTTTGGGCCTGGAGATACATTGGGTGGGGAAGTCCAGGAGCACATAAAGACTTTTGGAATGGGTTTGATTTAAGTCTGAGGTGAGTATGGCTTAAGCCTAGCCCCTTCCTCCCTGAATCTTCCCAGCCCTTGCTGCTGATCAGCTGCTACAAGGTGACATGATCCTGGGTCAAGCCTTAGCCCACCTTCCCCTGCTTGTCTGGCCAAAGCCACCATGGACTTGCTGTTTGGCTTTCCTAGAGTGGCTGGAAATCCCAGCAGAATTACCCAGTCCTGAGGACCTGAGCAGTCCCCAGTTACTTAATAGTCTGGATTTAGGGTAATTTCTGCCCATGCTAAATTTATTCCAGGGCCATCACAGATTCCTGGCATTGCACAATAGGTGATTCAATAGGTCTCCATCTCCCGTCTCCTTCTTCCCTGTGCTTGTGGTTTGCAACATTTATTACAGATGTTTTCTCATCTGCTAGGTTGAAAAAAGCTGATAACAGGCCAGACTTTCAGCCTGCCTGCTTTCTTTCCCAGGACTGTTAGAGAGCAAATCCACAATAGCACAGAAATAAGGTCAGGAAATAATGAAATGTGGTTCGAGAGAGAATATTCCACTTAACCAAGGCAAACACCTACCATTCAGAAGATGAGAGCCACAGTAGAGTGCAATTCAGATATATCCTGCAATGAACTATAGTGCTGTAGCCACAACTGCCTCTTCTGCCAAATAATCCAGGATGTTGTGCACAGAACCCAGACAACCTGAAGGCAAAGTTGGTGCTTTAGAGGGTAGTGCTTAGTCTGAGTTTATTCTGGATGACTCTGGGTATTTTATGGAGGTTGTCTCACCTCTCATTACTGTATGTGTCTATACAATATGTGGTTTTAAAAAAATGTAAGGGTCAGAATTTAATCTGGAGGGAAGGTGTTGTGAGAATGCCTGGTATTTTTGCTTATCCGTAGCATCTCCAGCATTCAGCCTGTTTTTCACCATTAGAGGAGTTGTAGCACAGCCTTCATTTCAAGGATGACTCATTTCCCTTTCTGGAATGCTCTTACATACTCGTGCTTATAATAATTCTACAAGTGGAAGTCATTATTACACAAGACTGATGATAAACTGGCTCATCCTACCTTGCCTCTCAAATGGTATCACAAATGGTAGCCCCAATGTTTTACGTTCTGTTGGAGAGAGTAATTTGGCTTTCAACCCTGAGATTTAATTAACTTCCAAAGACAATGGCTGCATCCATTGGTGGCACCAACCACATAAACCCTTGCAGTGGTTTCTTTAAGCCCCTTGTTTGCTGTGAACAGTGCAGGCAGGGTCCTTGCTGGCTGCCCTATGGCCCCTGTATCGGGTGCTGTAGGAGCAGCCAGGCATGCTGACAAGGCAGGGATGTAATTCATGTGGTGAGGGATAAGGGGTGCAGAGGCACCAGCAGTCACTTTTCCAGGCTCTGGTGCTGGCTGTAAGCCCAGCACTCCCCACATTATGCCCTTTGCTCTAGAGGGGGGAATGAAGGAACAGGATGTTTGGGGTTTTTCCTGGTTCTGGTTGTTGTGAATCCTGAAGTCTGACATCTTTCTTTTAATGTGAAAACTTTTTTGAAATGGCTGGTGGGAGAGAGAGGGTTGTAATGTGGCTGGTGACAACTGTGGCAGCAGATGAGCCTGTTGCTGTTCTGGCATGTGGGCATATGGCTCACACCAGCACAGGAAGGAGGTTATTTTAAGCCCCCTCCTTTGCCAGTGGAAGCGTGAGGAGCAGAACACCCAGGCGTGTCTCGCACGGCAACCGAGCTGCTGTGGCAGGTGTCACTTACCCTGATTCTCGTGTTTAAAAAGAAAAAAAAAAGGGTTGGTTTGGTTTGTGCAGCTTGCTTTGCATATGTCTGGCTGCACTGTCCAAAGGAAGGATGGCGACAATAGGAAGCAAATATTCCCAGGATGACCTGGGTGGCTTTTGTTCACGTCCTTCTTACTGTGGATTCTGGGAGTCTGTTGCCTTTGGGAAGGGGGTGCTGAGTTTGTCAGCACGTTGTGTGTCCTGAGCACTGCTGGACAGGCTGTACCTCTTGGGGATGCTGTCCAGCTTTGCCTCCTGCCTCTGCCTTGCCTTGCTACTCCTTGCAGTGCCCAGCAGTACAACATTTCCCCCCAGGAATCACTGCACTGCAGTGCTCAGGTGGGTCATCAGTGGAGCCCTTCCTTAAACCTCTGGTGTCCCAAGCAGGGCACAAAAGCCCTTTGTTGTTTGCAAAACATGCAGGAGAACTGGTACTTCATGTTGCTCATCTGGTTTTCCCTCTGCTGCCTTCTCAGGGATACTAGGGTCACGATCTGATCACTGTGGCATGGGGTGTCCCAACGGAGCCCCTGCAGCACCCGGTGGGGTGGGAGCTGCTGGGGACAGGAGAGCTGGTGCTGCCTTCCCAGAGCTGCTCCTGAGGCTGGGGGGACATGGCTGGGCAAGGTGGGGATTGGAAAGGTGCTGGCAGAAAAATTTCTCTTACACCTCTTTGCTTTGCAGGAGAGGGATTGCAAGGGATAGGGAGGAAACCTAAACTTCTCTCAGGTGGAGTGGGAGCCAGCTGGCCATCACATGCCATCCTGTATTGCTGCTTCTCATCAATGGACCCTCCTTTTGGTCCCACTTCTGGTCAGGTTACAAGATGGTGCAATAAAACCACTGTTTCCTTCACAGACTGGGATAATGGAAACCCCTTTAATAATTCAGGGGATACATTTTGTGCTTTGGGGTGATGGATCCCACAGGAAGAAGCACAGAAATGGAGATGGTTGTTGGGTGGGCCGAGTGGGGTTTGCCCAGGCTGACCGAGAGCCCCGTGGCCTTTCTTCTCCCCAGATTGTGATGTACATAGGCCAGGTCTCCAAGGACATCCTGAAGTGGCCTCGGCCCCTCTCACCACCTGTCGTCAAGCTGGAGATGAGGACAGTGGCAGAGTACGGGATGCCCTCCACCCACGCCATGGCAGCCACCGCCATCTCCTTCTCCTTCTTCAGCAGCACCGTGAGCCAGTACCAGGTAGGGGGTAAACACACAAAAGAAAACAAAGAAAAGCTTGTGTCTGCTCCTAGCAAGCTGCAGAAAACTAGCAAATCCAAAGCTGTTGCCAGTTCCAGAGGAGCTCTGTGTTTCTTTTCACAGATGTGTATTTTCCCGTTGTAACCTGTGGCTGATGGGTAACACAAGAAGAAGTTTAGCAGAAATCTCCTCTCTTTAGCATGATCCCTGCCCAGAGCCGTGGGCAGGCTGTGCTGCCCTGATGGTGTGGAGGGCTGAGGGTGAGGGAGGAGGGAGCCAGGGAGGCGCTGCGGGAGGCGTCCTGTGCGCTGCAGGAATCCGCATCTCCTGGTTTTTGTATGAGGCAGGAAAAGCATCCTCGGAAATCCCCTGGCTCTAACCTGTGTTAGACTAACAGCCCACAACACGATTGGAGAGCCTATTTGTCAGGGAAGGACCAGAAGTTTCATTGCACTGGAGCTGCAGGCTGCTAGGGGAGATCTTGTATTTTGTTGCCTTATATTTTTATATATGTTATCTTATATAATTTTCCCCAAGCCTTTTTTTTTTTTTTTCCGTTCCTAAAAGGTGTGTTTCCTGGAAACTCACTTCTTCACACTGATTGTTTCATTTTATGAATCCAAACACGTGCTTCCTGTACTTTAGCACTAACAACTTCCTGGCTGCAAAGTGTTTAAGAGTGTTTCGCAGCCCTCTCACATATACTTCAAAGATAAACCCGGGTAACCAAGAGGGCTTGTGGTACAGCCAGGGGCTCTCACTGTGGCAGTGTCCCTGAGTGTCCTCCCCATAGTGGCAGCCTGTGTTCAGGGACAAAAGCCACTGCTTTGATGAAGTGTGTGGTGTCCTGGGGCTGCAACTCAGACATCTTTGAATTAATTTAACTTCCTGACTCACTTGGTCCCAGCAGTGAAGCAGTGGGCTTTGCTTCTGCCCACCGTGCCACAAGCAGGTCTGTGGTGCCCAAAGCTGCACTGCCAGCCTCCTGCTCCATGGGAATTGCGTGGCAACTCGTCAGAGCAGCTTGGTAGTGGAATGGGGAGAGGGAGGAGAAGCTGTAAGATGGGATGTTTGTTCAGCCCTGGAAGGCAGATCTGTCCCATGTGTCAGATCTGCCAAAAAGACCTGGTCAGCAGCACTTTATCCCCCTCCTCTACCAATAAGTGGGACCTGCAGCTCTTCCTGGACTGTCTTGTACTTTTTGGAAGCTGCCATGAAACAATAAGGCTGCTGTAAAATAATTAAATGATTCAATTGCCTCTATTAAGGAGAAATCTGCCAGTACATGATGCTGCTATCTTCTAAAGCTGCCCTAGTCATCAATTACCAGCCTGGACCAGCTCCCAGCCTGCCTGCTGAGGGGGGGAATAAAGTGGATATAAATCTTCCAAGGGCTTAGAGAAGTGAGAAAAAATAGTGGTTTATAAACTGGGAGTGACATCTGCAGTCAAGTCTGAGCTCTCTGCTTCAGGGGCTTGAGGACACCACAGGGAAGGGGTCAGGAACCAGTTGTTATGCCTAAAATTTGCACAACAGCATTTTTGCATTGACCTACGGCCACCCTGGTCTGTCGTCAGCCTCTTGGCAGTAGATGGAGACTTTGTGTCGAATTGGGTGAATTAATTTCATTTATTTATATTTTGGGTTGGTGTTCTGTTGTGGTTTTTGTTGTTGTTGTTCTTTTTTTGGTGTTTTTTTGTTTTTGTTTCAGAAAAGGAGCCCACCAGCCCACTGGGTTTCAGGATTTGAATAAGGGGATTAAAGGCTAATATTCTTTATTCTTTATTAAATCTTCTTCTTTAAAGCTTATTTTTACCATGTGTGAGGGTTTCTTTCCTTTTTAAATGTTGATTTATTTCAACTTCTTTCTACTTTCATAGGCAACTCGGAGAGAGAGTTAAGCAAAACCAGCTTTGTAAGAGGATGATTAAACCTGAAGGGTCACAGGGAAGAGTGGTCCTGGCTGCTTTACCAGCTGGACTGTGGTTTCAGCCCAGACATGGATTTCCCCTGCTTGCCCACTGCTCCAGGTCTATGGATCATTGTTCTGGTCCAGCTCTGCAGCTGAAGCAACCTCCTCGGGTGATCTGAGGCTGCATTTCAGCCTCAGGCATCACTTGTACAACATCCTGTGCCTTTTTTTCCTTAAAGTCTTTAGCACTGACACAGATTTTTCTGGTGGATGTTGTGAGGAAAAACGTTGCAAATGCCTTTTATTTCCCAGGCTTCCCCATGCCATGTCTAGACCTTCACAGAAGCTGCCACCACAGATATTGCAATGACTTTCTGGCAGGGTTGCACATTAGCTGATGTGAGGTCTCATTTTGGGTCACATTAAATCTCTTTGGGAAAGTGCAGCTCAGGAGGCACCTCCCGAGGCGAGATCCTCATGTCCAGGTGCTTGGGTGTCTTATTTCAGGTATACACTGATGTTAAAGTGGATAATGGTGTCACGTGTGGTTTTAATTATTTTTTTCCCCTCCCCTTTTCACAGTATCCATTTGAACTAGGCCTGGCAGCAGCGTTTGTGTTCTCCACACTGGTGTGTCTCAGCAGGCTCTACACGGGGATGCACACGGTGCTGGTAAGGACGCCCTGAGCCCTGCCCAGCTCCCACTCCTCTAGCCTTGCACCTCCTGCCTTGGTCAGGCCACTGCAGGAATACAGGAGTCACGGCACTACATTTCAGGCTCTATGTTCAAAGGCAGCTGTGAGGAAACCCTCTGGCTATTGTTATTTGAGTCTGCAGGGGGATTATTTATCACACAGGGAAGTGCGGCGCGCGTGGCTGGGCGCGGGGTGAGGTGGGTGCAGCAGCTCAGCTGGAGCTCTCTCTCTATTTTGAAATTTTAATTGTGAGGAATGCACTTGGGCAACTGATGCTGCACCTTAGCTAAGCCTTTTGTGCAATAGTATCACTGTTGTCAGCAAGAAATATTCCAGGCTGGTTCAGCCTGGGAGTGCCAGGGAAGGAACAGCAGGTTGGCAAGTCGTGCCAGAGAGCAGAGTACAGTGTGGCAAGTGGGCTGCTGGGGGAGACTGGGGGACAGCAAGTCCCATGTTACCATACAGGGACATGGCACTTAAAAAAGCATGCTATGACAGGCTTCTCACATTCAGCTGGTAGGAATTGAGATGCACAAATCTGAAAATACTAGTAAAATATCAGTGACTTTCTATCACAGACTTGTTGGGCACAGTTGTTTAGAGATGTCAGCCCTGCTACAAGAAGATATTTCAGTGTAACTTTGATTAGCTGATGAGAAGAAACATTATTGATTTGTTATATCCAGCTGCCCGAGTATGGATAAAAACCTTTATCTACTTCCTCACAGGAATTTGATTTGCATTGTTTGTTGCATTTCTTTACTAAGGAATAATTATGCTTGTTGTAATAAGGAGGCTTGATAAATATAAGAAAGGGAGCCCTTATGAGATTAAGGTTATCTATAAAATATAGCTTGGCCTTCCCTTCCAGGCCTAGTGGATCAAAACAATATCATCAAGGCTGGAGACACCCTTTCTGGGCTAGTGACCTTAAGTCAATCAGTAAAAATTCTTCACATACTTCCCTTGCTGGCCCATCATAATGAAAGAGTCCTCTAAATTTAGATGGATTTTAGGGTAAAGAAGAAAAAGGTTTTTTTGCGTTTGACATTATAAAAAAAGAGCTTTAAAATTTTTAAGAAAAGCTCCTTAGTTTAACTGTGAGCAATGCTGCATTTCAAAAGGGCAAATGTACTTTGCTTGGGTCTTCATCCCCTGGTGGGAAAGGAGCTGGGGAAATGCCTGATGGCCACAGCTGCCCAAATCCAACCCCTCCATCTCCAGTGCAGTTTGACCCACTGATAGTGGCTCCAGTGTTCCCCCTGCAGTGGCAGATTCTTCTTGGGAAGAGGTGCAGCTCAGAGCCACTTGCCACACTTCAAGGGGCAGCTCCCACCCTGAGCTCTGCTCACCTGTTGTGTGGGCACTCGAGCTGCTGCTGGGCTGAGGCACAGCACCTGCTCAGCCAAGCAACCAGCCAAAACAGCCTCTGTCTAATGGATTTTTAACTGAGGTCTTCACAGAAAATTAATACCAACAGGATAACGTATTAACTTATTAAGAGATCATAGTATTTTAGTAAAGAAAATAGGCAGGTAACTGAATTTTTCCCATTTGAGGAAGTAGAGAAGGAGTGGCAAGGTGGTTGCACTGTCCTTTGCTACAGCTATAGCTGAAGCTCTGGTGTAAGAACTCGTCTTCAGTGTCAGCTCTAAAATCAGTCTGTATTTCAGTGTTGCTGGTGCTGGTTTTGGATCAGGAATGGCCTCAAAAACACAGTCATGTCAGTAGGAGAGATGTTACAATTAAAGACCTTCTGGAGATGCACTGACATGGTGTGAGAGCTGCCTGCATCATTACAGCTCTATCAGAATGAATATTATGATCAGGGGAAAGGCAATGAATTCTTGTTGCCTGGGCTGTTGCCAGGAGAACATCACCCAGAGAAAGCGATGGAAGCCACACACTCACACTGCTGAGAGGTAATTTAATTACAGCAACCCACTCACAGCACTGTAACACAAGAACATCCCGGCTTGTGGAGAAGCAGGGGAAAGGCAGGGTCCTTCCTTTTAGGTCTGAAATTTTGGAGTCTGAGAAGCTGCCAAAGAGGAAATCTGGAGTTACCAGGAAAGGGCAAAATTAAAATTTGGACACACTGAACCTGTCACATGTTAGGGCTTATTTAAAGGAGCAAGAAGCAATTAGAGACATTAGGGACTGGGGTTTGTTGTTGATAGGTGTTTTTTCCAGGCAGTTATATTTTAAATATCTGTTTAATCCTCATCTTAAAAAGTTGGCCTAATTTTTTATCTCTCTCTCAGTGAGAGTAGCAAGTTTTTCTGTCTCACTGTTGTTGGAGCACAGCTGAGTCATCTCCTGTGGGAAGGGATGAGTGATGGTGCTCGTGTGTGTGCACAGCAACCCAGAAGGATGCAAGCAGGACCATCACCAATTGTATTAGGAAAAACGTCATCAGCTGAGGGCAGCCCCTGGAGCAGGGGGAGGCTTGTAGTCGCCTTTTAACCCTTCAAGGCCAGCAGTAGGAATTTCTTAATGCACGAAACTGATGTGTTTGGCACTTGCTGAGCCATGACTGGTGCTCCAGAGAGTAAGTAGCATCTTTTTGTGAAGTGAATTCAGGCAGTAAGTGACCATAAGGAAGACAGAACAGGCAAATATTTCTCTTTTTTCTTTGGTTGGAAACATGATGCTTGAGTGCCAGTGTGTTTGGGATGCTGGTTTGATGTTCTGGGAGCCTGTTGTGATTCTTTGCATCTCCAGGCATAATTTCAGTGGGAAGAGCATAGGAGGGTCTTGCCTTCAGAAAGCCAGACTGCATGCTTTTGCAATCCTAAACCAAATCCTGCTCCAAGGCCTTACAGAAAAAAAGCCCATGAGAATGGCAGCAGCAGCAGTTCCCCTGCCCATGGACTGTGACACTGGGAAAGGATTTTGAAGTGCCCTGGTCCTGCATCCCACCAATCATGTACAACGGGATTTTTGTTGTCAGTTGTTTTTCTTTATGTACCTGCAGCACAGGAAATGAACTTGCAGGGCTGGCAGTGTTAGAAACCTGACACTGGGCTGTTCTTTAGGCAGCAAAAGGACATGGCAGCTCTCTAGTTAAAATAGATGATCTGAGGGCTGGAACACCTCTGCTGGGGAGACAGGCTGAGAGAGCTGGGGTTGTTCAGCATGGAGGAGGTTCTGGGGAGGCCTAATAGCACCTTCCAGCATTTGAAGAGGCTACAGGAAAGCTGGGGAAGGGACTTTTTGCAAAGCATTGGGAGATAGGGGGAATGGCTCTAAACAGGAAGAGTGGAGATTTAGATTAGAGATCAGGAATAAATTCTTTAGTGTGAGGATGGTAAGACACTTGAACAGGTTGCCCAGGGAAGCTGTGGATGTCCCATCCCTGAAAGTGTTCAAGATCAGGTTGGATGGGGCTTGGAGCAACCTAGTCTAGTGGGATGTGTCCCTGCCCATGCAGGGGGGTTGGACCTAAATGATCTTTAAGGTCCCTTTCAGCCCAAACCATTCTATGATTCTGTGAGCCGGGCAGATGCTGGTGGCTGTGGGGGGGGGCTGGGGGGTGTAGAACAGGAGCAGGGCTGGGTTGCATGGTGGCAAGAGATTTTAAGGAGGGATAGAGCCTGTGGAGGAATTGTCTGTGCAGAGGGAGCTGGAGCATCTCAGTAGTAGCAGGGAAGTAGAAGGTTCTAAGCCTTGCCGGTAGGGCTGCACCTTGAGTAAAATTCGTGCCTGCCCTAATTTAAAAATTCCTTTGTAATTGCGGGCTTGGCAAGAGACTAATCTGTTTACACAGGCAGATGGGCAAGAATGTGCTTCCTGGGAGTGCTGACAGCCTCTCCACCTCCCGGGGAAGCTCGGGTCCTGCCCTGGGTGCACAGCAGGGAGCCTCCAGAAAAGTCGTTTTTCTCACAGAAATCAGAGCCATCCCCACCTCTTCCCAGCAGCTCTTTAGTTTAACAGGCAAGGGTGGTGCAAACCATTAATTCTGTGCCACTGCTAAATGCCTTTCCAAAGTGTTGGTCTTGAGCTTGCCCACCTTTTCTGGGTGTTCAGAAAATCAAACCTTTGTCTGTGCACATGGGAGGCAAAGGGACCCAGCACCGACAGCCATGGCTGGGTATGGCTCCCCATTCCCCGCCGCTCGAAAAAAAGCCCATGAGAATGGCAGCAGCAGCAGTTCCCCTGCCCATGGACTGTGACACTGGGAAAGGATTTTGAAGTGCCCTGGTCCTGCATCCCACCAATCATGTACAACGGGATTTTTGTTGTCAGTTGTTTTTCTTTATGTACCTGCAGCACAGGAAATGAACTTGCAGGGCTGGCAGTGTTAGAAACCTGACACTGGGCTGTTCTTTAGGCAGCAAAAGGACATGGCAGCTCTCTAGTTAAAATAGATGATCTGAGGGCTGGAACACCTCTGCTGGGGAGACAGGCTGAGAGAGCTGGGGTTGTTCAGCATGGAGAACGTTCTGGGGAGGCCTAATAGCACCTTCCAGCATTTGAAGAGGCTACAGGAAAGCTGGGGAAGGGACTTTTTGCAAAGCATTGGGAGATAGGGGGAATGGCTCTAAACAGGAAGAGAGGAGATTTAGATTAGAGATCAAGAATAAATTCTTTAGTGTGAGGATGAGAAGACACTTGAACAGGTTGCCCAGGGAAGCTGTGGATGTCCCATCCCTGAAAGTGTGCAAGATCAGGTTGGATGGGGCTTGGAGCAACCTAGTCTAGTGGGATGTGTCCCTGCCCATGCAGGGGGGTTGGACCTAAATGATCTTTAAGGTCCCTTTCAGCCCAAACCATTCTATGATTCTGTGAGCCGGGCAGATGCTGGTGGCTGTGGGGGGGGGCTGGGGTGTGTAGAACAGGAGCAGGGCTGGGTTGCATGGTGGCAAGGGATTTTAAGGAGGGATAGAGCCTGTGGAGGAATTGTCTGTGCAGAGGGAGCTGGAGCATCTCAGTAGTAGCAGGGAAGTAGAAGGTTCTAAGCCTTGCCGGTAGGGCTGCACCTTGAGTAAAATTCGTGCCTGCCCTAATTTAAAAATTCCTTTGTAATTGCGGGCTTGGCAAGAGACTAATCTGTTTACACAGGCAGATGGGCAAGAATGTGCTTCCTGGGAGTGCTGACAGCCTCTCCACCTCCCGGGGAAGCTCGGGTCCTGCCCTGGGTGCACAGCAGGGAGCCTCCAGAAAAGTCGTTTTTCTCACAGAAATCAGAGCCATCCCCACCTCTTCCCAGCAGCTCTTTAGTTTAACAGGCAAGGGTGGTGCAAACCATTAATTCTGTGCCACTGCTAAATGCCTTTCCAAAGTGTTGGTCTTGAGCTTGCCCACCTTTTCTGGGTGTTCAGAAAATCAAACCTTTGTCTGTGCACATGGGAGGCAAAGGGACCCAGCACCGACAGCCATGGCTGGGTATGGCTCCCATTCCCCAGCAGCTCCTGGTAAGGAACCTCCAAAATGAGAAGCCCCTATATTGGTGGACAGGGGGAAAACCAGAATAAACCACTGGTTTCCAAACTTCTTTGATTGTGCACCTCTAAGAGTAAAAAAAAAATTGAACGTGCACTCCCAATATTTATACGTTTACTTATTAATTATATACACAATACATATATCATAAAACATACAAAAAACTCCCAAACAAAACAAGAGGATAAGCACTACTCTTAAAATATGTATTTGTTTTATTTTACTTATTGGTGCTGCAAGAAGTATTTTCTTCCCAGAGCCCAAAGGGCTGCCTTGCACACCCACTTTGGAGCTCACTGGCACAAGGCAATGATTGGGAGTGGAGCTGGTTATCTGGGTCCTGCCTGAGAACTACAGAAGCTGGTTTACTCTACTGGAGCAGAATAGGAGAATAATAAAACTCAGAAAAACTTAATTAGGTCTGTAAATAGATATTGTCTGTGCCCTGGCTGGGAACTGCTGGAGCAGTGTAAATCAGAGCAAAGCCTTTGTTAGGGGAATGTTAATGTTTGGTTAAATGTCTTTAATTGGAGCATGTGAACAGCTTTTTCAGTTTCATTCCCTAATCACACGTGGAGGAGGAGGTATTGAGATGTCAGGACTTTTTCTTATAATATGAGGTGGACAAGTAATGGAGTGGAAAATGGAGGTACACAGGGATTTCTGAGCATCAGTGCTGGGAGCAACCTCCAGCTCTTCTGTGTTGATGCAGTTATTTATGTTGGGCCAATCTGTGTCTTGGTGTGTGAAGTCATAGTCTAAAACTGGTATCAAAAGATGGATTATTACGGTGGAATATTGACATCTGATGACATTTTCCATATTAGACATCTGTGAAACAACTTTGAGTATTTCCATGGCTATCCTGATATCATGGAGGAGGGAATAAATGTAATGAGAAATTTGTAGTGGGAATATAGAAATGGCTCTGGGAGTTGCTTAAAACCACATGCACTGTGAATCTATTGCCTGGAAGTTGTAAACAGCTCAAGTTCAGCCATACCGGACTAATGCATTTACCAGAAAGTCATTTAATATTTCTGTTGTGGAAAAGTGCCCTTGTTCTTGCCTAACTATAAATGAAATTCTCATAAATAATTCATTTTAGACTGTGACCAAACATGGTAATAGTCAACTGTCATGACTCGGTGAAAAAGATACAATCTTGAGACAAGGACGTTGCTGTCTCTGATTAACTCTAGTTTTTGTGGGACATTTCATGGTCAGAATACAAATTCTGCTGCCTCCTGAGTGATGCTGGGAGGACAGCATGGGGGAAGCTCATTATGTTGCTTTTTCTCTGGCTGCTCTCACACAGACAGCTTTTGTCAGGGGTTACCTCTGGTCTCCCTTCCCAGCCTTGCAGTTGACAACAATCAACTTCTCAAAACACCTGATTTGCCTCTGTTAATAAATTAGGTTTCAACTATGTGCCTGCCTCGGGCGCTTAACTACAAGCCTGATTTCAGATGCTTGGGCATGAAATGTCTCTGTGCAGCATT